TTTTAAATCTTGAAATCCTTTTCTTGACTGGAATTTCGTTACTTAGCCACGGTAACTTTTGTATCTTTAGGATTCAATTCTATTTACTATGTCCAGAAAATAGCTGAAATCCAGAAAACAGTAACCTTAGTGAACTACAGATGTTAAATAAGTAGTTAGGACAATTGATTTTTTAAAAGAACCAGTATCTTGTACTTCGGCAAGTGTGTTCAAGGGTCATAAGAGCAGTCACTGTATGCCAGAAAATGAAACCAAAATTCTAACAACTCATTAGATCAAGAGATAAATCAGATCAACTGGAAAAAAAAGAATTAGTCACAATTATGGAAGGGGAGTATGTGATGCAACAGAGAGAACAAAGAGAGAAATCAATTTCCACTCCAACTTTCTGCTAATTAAAAAACCCAGTCCTAATCAGATGCATTTGTATCATTCCTTCTGGTTTTGTTCTTTCAGGAAGTTAAACCGTTAGTTAAGTTGGCAAAGCAATAAGATTTTGCGCTGACAGCTTTGTGTCAATGCTGCCTCGTGTGCAGACCCGTTAAGGGTTTTTCAAAGGCAAAGACACTTTCTTTGATGTTCACGTGCCCTTTCGTACAACCCGCAGTGTCAACACACTGCCACGATAGATTGCAGGGTTGGGTAAGCAAGGGGAAACTGCTTTACACCATGTGCTGTGCGTATGGTATCATCAGACTTCTTGGTGCAACGTCCCTTTTCTGTTGCTGCCAGACATCGTTTTTCTTTCCTTCCAATTTAAGACAAGGATTTAGTTTGTTACAAATGCCTTCTACTGTTATTGTATCTGCTCTTCAAATTGTCCTACATCAGCCCCCAATGTTAAAAATGTTCATAAAAATTCTCAAAATCAATTTTTATTGATGACCAAAAAGTTATTGCCTTCCCCCATTTCTTCCCTTTTTAGCTCTCATTGTTTTGCATCGTAGTGTGCGTTTAACCTATTTAGACTATAAGCAGGAGCTTGCAATATTTTGCAGTTACTCTTGGTATCAGCAATATACACACCCGAGGACAATAGTACACAAAATTAAAGAAGCTGCATTGTAAGTAGTTTGGGAAGTGGTGTGATACTTTGCAAAATTCCTAGTTTCTTCTAATTTGAATCAATTATTTTGTCATCAATAGTACAATTCACTTCAAAATTTATTGAATGGATCCTCTGGGAACAATTATAAGTTATTAAACAGTAGAGAGTCAAAATACTTGTATCGTTCCTCTTAAGAAAGTTCAACTTCTGTGTCCTAAATAAATAAATACGCATCTATATATGTAGACTTGCACAATTTTTAGCGCTTTACTACATGAAAAAAGGGGAAAGAATACTTACTAGGAGTATAAAGAGAATTTTCTTTTTATCTCTTTTTCTGTATTTGTGTCAAAACCTTTTTTTCCCCCTGTAAAGATTTCTAAATATGGAGCTCCAAAACATCAGTCCAAAGGGGATTCTCAGTGTTGAGCTTTTGTTTCCCTGCCTCATCTAAAATTCTCCAAGGACCATATCTGGCACAGGTATTTGTGTTTAAAGTACTCCCGGAAGGAGTCAGAGCAAACTTACCTAATGATGCAAATATGTACCATGTATATATATATTTTTCCTATATATTTCTATATATAGAAATATTTCTATATTACATATAGAAATAAGGCAAGCAGGCCTGGCTTTTTGTTGGTTTGTTTGTTTATGTATAACTATACTCAAGTTTAAAAGTCCTTGTCTTGCTGTTGTTTGCTACAGCATCGAGCGCTCTGAGTCCACTGACACCCAGATTAGGGTCTTTAAGTTTCTACAATACAACATCATTTTTTTCTTGTAATAGAATAAATATTTACTAGCAGTAATCATATACAATAGCAACTTTGCATTATGGCTTGAAAGTTCAATTTTTAAGATGAAGGACATCAACTAATCTGAATTTAATCCTGTAAGGTATTTTCTGCCTTTTCCACTTTACAGTAACAGTGCAGACTCTACACTGTGAATTTAATGCTACTTGTAATAAATATGCTCATCCTGGTCACTTTTTTGAAGACTCTTAGAAGGAACGCTCATGAGATCCTCAGACCACAGACTGAAAGCTACTGCTTTTTTTTAGTTTATTTTTTCATATTTGATGTAAAAATTTATACATTTTATGTATTTATTATTTCCAAGTGCGAAAAGCCTGCATGGCTAGGAGAGTGAAACTGCATCTAGCAAACAGCTAAAATGAAAAAAAAAAAAAAAAAAGTTAGATGACAACCGCCAGCTGCCCCTACAAGAGGAAACAGAGGTTTAGGAGAGTTGTCGGGGAGTCTGAGAGCCATTCAGCAGTGCAAACCAGATGATACACTGGAGGCAGTGAGCCAGGTAGCCAGTTGGCCCTATTTCGAAACAGCAGCATAGCCTGGGATGGAAAAGATGACAGGCGGTCGGTCATTCAGCAAGGAGAGGTTTTGGAAAGCAGTCAGTCAGTCAAACCAGGTGAAGAGTTGATTTGTCAATTTCTAGCAAGCCCACTTGCTATTTTACCTTTTTGTTTATCTGTACCCTGCTTTTGGTCCCTGGTCCTCTTCAAGTAGGGTTTAACGTTGTAAACCCATGTAGAAACATGTCAAGGATAGAGAAAGGAAGTCCTAACGGTCATCTCTCCACATCCTTTTCTCTAGGGGTTGCTTTATTTCCATAAGTACTAATTCAGAAACCAGATTAGAGCAGTCAAAAGTGCTTGAATTATCAGGAAGAAGAGGTAAGACATTAATACTTCCTTTTGTACTGACTGCCCCTTTTAAAACTGAATAGAACAGCCCCATAACAGACAAACGCCCAAGGTACGTAACAGGCTTAGGTACCAACTTGGTCAATAGTCTTAGTCGTGTCTGAAGTTCACAGAAGTGATTATGGTGAGCAGTCAGCTTACCTTGTCCAGTCCTGTGCCACTCCCTGGAGTGTGCAGACATTATACTGATTTATCTGATCTGTCATTAGAATTGTGTTCTCAAACTACTCCACTGCTCAAGTGGCAGCAGAGTCAGTGAGTAGTTGGAATATTGTGTTGCACAGAACTTAGAGCCCGAAACATCTAAGATACCTTCAAGCGCGGCTGGCTCATGATTGCACTAATACATTGCTCGACCTTCCTTCACCCATCCTTTATTTGTAACTTTAGAAAGATTTTTTTATTTTACTCTTTCATTTTCTTTCAGGTCAAGAAAGGGTAAAATAAAATTGGACACTGTCCTAAGCTATCTCCAGGCACCAGGCACATAGTGGAATGCTGTGATCTCCCATGGCTGCCAAAACATTTGTGTGGAATTTAAAAAATTTGTTTTGATCTTCAGACCCATAATTGTGTAGCAGACTTAACCAAACAGTCAACAGAGGAAAGAAATGAATAGGAGGGTGATAGAAGGGCTTTACAGCTTGCTCTCCTCTTTTGAATTCCTTCTATTCTTCTAAAATAGACAAGCAAGTAGACAAAGTTAGACTCCCTTAATTAGAGACAATAGCCCCATTCTGGTATCTGATGCCAATTTAGTCTTATACAAGTCAGTGTTTCTGCTACTACCAAGCTCGGTAGTTATGTCAACAGTTTGCTACCGCTTGCTGCCTGCACTTCAGGATCTGTGCCCAACACTTAAAGGGTGGCTTTAAGCGCATTCTGCACCTGAGGATGTGTCGGCCCCACACACTGCCTCCTTGGAGTGAGGATGAATTTACGTACTCATGGCCAACACTTCAGTCACCTGCTACACAACTGGGAAACTCTGACTGTCTTTACAAGGGAACCAGCTTCTTTCAAGAATGCCTTGTAGGATTTTAGCCTCACGCCACAAAGCAACACAAATGACAAAAAATTCAGAGAGAACTGAACACTGGAACTTCAAGTATGTAACTTGAAGATAACTTGGAGACAACCCACACAGACCATTTTTTTTTAGAACCCGCTTTAGTGACAAAAAGAGTAGTTGTATATACAATGAGGTGAAGCCTTAGACTAAGACTTCTTCTGAAGCTTCTTACCTCAGTTGTTACTTTCATTTGCAAGCATGGAAACTTGCATGCATGCAAGTTTCTTGCCTCAGAAGCAGTACTCTCAGGAGTATCTCAACTTCCATCATAGCCAAAAGGGGTAATGAATCACCCGTGCCAGTAAACTAGCAGAGACCGCTTGGCATTTTGAGATCAAATTACCTAAGTCTGCTGTTTATCCCCAAATTGCCCACTTATATTTCTTGCACATTTTCCTAGCCAGTACAAATAACACATTCAGAGAATGGTTCTGAACAATTTAATAATTTTATTTACCATTTTATTTATCATAACACACTCTAAGCATAACCACTGCCAGTCAAGACTGAATATAGTGCACCAACAACAGTTTTCACCAAAAATACTTTCTTGTCAGATTCTTCACAGACAAGAAGTATTAATTTATTCATGGAGAAGGCATTTCAATACGTGTCACTATTCTGGGCTTCAAACACATCTATTTACGCTCATCTGAAATCAATTGTATGCTTATCAAACAACGTGAAATAACTGAGAGTTGTTAATTTTAAAACAATTCCATCATCATTAATTGTGTGGCATTTATTCTGGAAAAAATATCGTTGCACTGTGATTCCTACTGTTTCTTTCTTCCCAGCCCCTTCCCGTCAGCTTTTCTGCCAAGCTTCCAGAATTTTAAATTGTTTAATAATGTCTTTGAATTGAGGTCAGGAAGAGGTCAGTTTAAGGCAGTGTCCAAATGGGTTACTATACACTTGGCTAAATGCAATGTATTGTCATCTTTATTTAAAGGAGTGCTTAACTGGAATTGAACATAGTTTATCAGACAGAAAATTTGTAGCATCTCATGATGCAAACTGTACGTTCTGACTGCTACAAAGAGACCTTTTTAAGAGTAGGCCAATATACTGGCTATGTTTTTCTTAGAGTACCTTTAGAATTTTTATAACAAAATTGTATATATTAAAAAATTACAACCACACACAATCTTTTGTTCACGGAGATGTTTATTTTTGTCTTCAATGTTTGTAGGGAATACGATTTCACTACAAAAGCATCTCAGAGAAACTCCATTCAAAGTTTAGGCTTAAGAATGAAGGGAAAATATACTTTCAGCTGTACCAGTCCTGAGCAAAGTTTAAAAATAAAACAAACAAACAAACAAAAATCCTCTAGAGATAGGAAGCAGCACCAATAAAACCAGAGGGCCTCTTACTGATATCTGCTCATGCTTTCTTTTCTGCTTGAGAATTGGTAAAAACTTAGGTAGGAATAATTTTATTAGAATGTGGACCTAAGATTCACAGTCCCAATCTCTCAACAAATACCATGCATTCTTTTACAGCCAGAGTTCAGGGCTTCATTTTTACTTTCCATTAATTAGTCAGGACTGCTAACAGCAAGACTGTTGCCCCCACGGTGTAACATTTTCTCTTACTTAAATTGGTAAATAAATATTTATTTAATATACTTCTTTTAATAAATATTTATTTCCTATCAGTATCAAGTTCCTGAAAAGTTACATTGTTCTTAGAAGTATACTACTCACAGCAGTTATAAAACTTCTGATAACATCAGGTCTCAAAATAATTCAAGTGGCTTACATTTTGTCTCTTGTTCTTTCAGTGATAGGATTTCAAAGCCATTGGTAACACTCAGTACTTCATAGTTGGTTTATCCAGGACATTCAGATTCAATCTGACAAAAGTAAATACTTCTAAGAGTCAGAACAGAAAAGGCACTTACTCATTTTGGGGAAGACACCTGGCAGGTAAGAGTTTTATTTTCAAAATAACAAGCCCTTTTTCTGACAATAAAATCCTTAAAAACTACTGTTGGATAAACATAAACCTTATGAATAAAACCAACTTACGTACCCCTTCCCAAGAAAGGTAATGCTGTCCTTGATTAAGAAACTGAGAAGTGTGAAAGCATCCAGAAATACTCAGAAGTTTTATTCACTTCTGTGATATTCCAGTAGGCCATCACAGCTGATGAGAAGAAAAAAATCTCCTCCAAAGAATGTATGTTTTACAAACTGAAAGCCTCAGAAATTTCTGGACTGTTTCTTATTAGGTACTTGAATCAGCAATAAAATATAAGATTCTAGTGTGTTATAACCAGGAACATCGCCTTGGTTACAACTGATAACCTGTGACTCCATCCGGAGGAGTAAATCTTTTATCAAACTTCCTTTCAATCGAACCATTGCCTCAGTGATGCTCTGTATAAGGCACTTAGTAAATTTTAAGAGCATCTGACAGTGCTGTTGGTAGTTTTGATTTGTCTGTGAGGATGCTCTACCAACGCTTCAAGATTAACGGGCTAAGGTGTGGAATAACCACTGAAAACAGCCATACGAACTACTGGCCACAAAACTCTCTTCAGAAGCCACATCCGTTCTAGTCTGGGTTCTTATTACCCTTTCAACATAAGGTTATCCTTTTTCTAGTAGTCCAGTAATCAGGCCCTTTAAAATTGGGTAGCGTCTAAATGTGCAAGAGGAATCTATTTTGTTCCTGACTAGCTCTTTAATCAAAACTACTGCCCTTTCAGTAAATGACCTGTACCCAAGAGAGAAACGTTCATGGTATTTACTATGAAATTCACAAAAACCTACACCTATCTGTAGGCCAAAAGTCACTGCACCAACAGGGATCAAGAATTATAAAGCAACACACAACTATAAGAAGTGTGGGATGCTGCCTACTTCCAATACAGTACACAGAGAAAGGAATACTAAACACACACAGAAGCCATTCTATAGTGGCTTTTCTAGGTATTATTCTGAAAATACATTTTCTTTGTTCTTTTCCCCCGTTATCCTCTGTCTTTTTGTTGGACTGAGGGTTTTTGAAGGTGTTTGAAATTTTAGAAACAGAAGCTACTCAGAATTTCTGTAGGAAAGCTGAGAAAGCGCTCAGTGTCTGTGCGTGCTCCTCGGATCTCTTTCTCCAGCTGGCACCGAGAGCATTTTCTTGCACCTTTCAAAAATCCTCCAGGTACTGCAAGTCACTTGGCAACATTACGCCTCCATCAGTTGGAAAGCGTTTTGCTTATTTTTCCATGTTTGGAAGCCTCCCAGCAATAGAATCAGACCATTTGCAGAAATGCAGATATGAAGACCAGTAATTGGCATCCCAGAATGCCAGCTACCTCAGCCAGAATGCTTGAATGGTACAGGATTGGTCTAAGTAAGTTTGCTCAGCAAGAATCTGTTCAGTAAGTCAGTTATATAGAAACAAGGACAACGGTGACCAAACTGATAGATGACCTCTAAGTTCCACATACCATTGTTGGTCTTAGAGAAACCAAGATATAGTTGAAGAACTGGGAATAGCAGTCAAATTCCCCACTTACAAAAGCAGGCATAATAAATTATTTCAAACTCACTGCCTCCACTTATACTATAGATGTACTTGGGAAAAAAAAAGGGAGAAGAAGGAATCAGAATGTGATTTCCTTCAGAGGTGGGAGTAGTGATACTCAACAAATACACGTAATCTTAAGAGGTTTCCCTTGCTGAGATTAATTCATAGCTGAAGGCTGTTACAGAGATGATCAGTCAGATGGTGTATTTTCTTGCTCAGAGATCTGTGCTGCCAGGAACTGGGCTTGGCATTGAAGCATTTTGATTTATTCTGTGCAAAGAAGGATCAGCTTCAGAAACAGATTATTCATGGATGGTAGTTATATATTAGATGCATATAAATAGCAAATTAGATCTCTCCATTCCCAAAGTGGGTGTTCAGAAAGTAGAATCGGCCTGACCGCTCACTTGTCTTAACTAACAGACGCTAAGTGACTGAACAACTCCATCCTTTTCTAGTGACAAAGTACCTGCAACTGCCTTTGAACCAAAAGAATTTGTCGTTCGTAGAATCTAGCGAGCTTGGGAAGGGGGTAAAGAGCCAAATTTCATTAGCCCTGGTTACATATATTTCCTTCTTCTGTATACTTTTGCTTCTTCATACAGAAGAGGAAAATTATGAGCATGTGGTTAGCAGGTTATCAAAAAATATATTAATACTCTCTTTTCCTCAGTTGTCTTTTCAATAACTCCATTGTAAGTTAGAGCTCCATTGGTCTAAAGCCACATTTCTTAAAAAAAGTTTAAGCTTGTTCACTTTGCAAGCACTTTGACTAAGATCAATATTTATACACAGAGAACAGTGTAATTAAAGATTACACTTTTCCAGGTGCCTACACCCTGAAAATGTAGTCCTGAAGGGCTTCTTGCTCAGATATTCCTACCTCTGTCAAGATATGCCATACTATCCACAAAATAATTAACATTTTGGAACTATTCTTTAAATTATTGTTACTGGAACAATATTTTTTCTGGTGGTAATTTGCTTTTTAAACATATGGGACAAGGAGTGATTAGATAGTGTTACCATTTTGTCTTTTCCAAACCCCAAATGGTACAGCAATCTCTTGCGATCATTCTTAGTAATACTCATTTGAGCGATGGAATATGCTTTTGCCCTTCATCTTCCATGTTTCATTCCTTAAAAGTACAGCTAAAACTTCCTGTGCGCATTAAACTGTCTCCTCTTAAAATCCCCTGTGTCAGTGGACAGAGCAAGTTCTTTCAGATGACTTTTATCTGTTTCCCAGAATGAAAGGGGCAAGATTTAGGATTGAAAACATCTCCTGAGGGATTAAGTATTACACAGTGGTGGTTCATTTTAATTTTCACCAATACAGTTAAACAGAAGCTGTAAATAGTTCCTGCATTACTAAGAGTCTAGGATCTGAAACTAATTTATTTGTTCGCTGCATTTTCTTTCACTGTTTGAATCCAACGGTATAGTTTAGGTGGGAGCTGGGGGGGACACACCTGGACTCCTGGGCCTTGTTCATAGACACATCACAATCTTCTTGTGTAATGTCTTAGGAAAGTCACTTAAACATCACTTGCTGTTGGATAATACCATTTACTAGCAAGTGTGCAGCTATCCATTGCTGTTGCACCGTTTACTCCATTCGTATCCATCTAGACAGGAAGTTGCAATAATTTTCGAAAGCATTAATCTGTAATTAACTTGTGAAGTACTTTTCCGATTTTAATTGAGTAGTTAAATCCTGTTAATTCTTATTAAAACATGGGTTCTTTAGATGTCAAATGAAGCTCACCATCTGTTGTCTTAGTCTCTTAATTCTCTAAGAGAGAGAGGAGCAAGTTAAAGGAGAAAGTTTCTCCTTTAACAAGAGGAGAAAGTTTCTCTTGTTAAAACTTTGACAGTACAAAAGAAAACCAACGGAGCTTCCTCAGTTTGACTGATTTTACTGTACAGCTTTTCCTAGTTTGTGAAGTTACACCCTTTCGAACTGAGACTGCTTTGACTTAAGTCAGGGCATAATTTCAGGTAAGAAAAGCCTTTGCAAGCTCAAACAGTATTTCCAGCACACCCAAATCTTAACGTTGATAGAAGTATGCATTTGCAAATTATCATAGTCAAAACCGGCATTAACTTTTTATCTTACCTATCTTATTCCTGAGTAAGCACAGGCCAAATTTACTACACGTATCGTAGCATTTGCTGCTGCCTTTGGAGAAATTAAATTAAATTGCATTTCTATTTCCATATAGTTTCTGATATTTGAAAGGAAGCATACTCAGACTCCCTAGCAGGGAGCAGAGTCAAATAAAGGCATGTGACAGAAAAAAACAAGCAGATACAGTTAAAGAACCCTGGATATACATAAGAAGTACACAATAGACAGTTCCATGCCAAATCCATCCTGTATAACAAAAGTATAATCAATTAGCACAATGTGGGAAACTGTCAGGCTTTTGAGACAGGAGAGAAAAAAAAATTAAAGAATCTAAGATGCAGAGCCATACACTTGTGTCAAGTTTAGAAGACCTGCCTGAACACTATAGTGAACTGGTGGAAACAAATTATAAAACATATTCTATCTTACATGGCTACCTAAAAATGTGCTATCCATAATATTAGGAAAAAGTAAAGTGCACAAATTATAAAATCGACAAAATTTTTGAGATTTTACAATCTATGCCACGAAACATCAAATATCTAGAGAAACATGTAATAGGTTAAAACTTCAGTCATAGTCTTAATTTCAAAGACTTTTACTATCAAGAATTTTTAAGTTTGTTAATGTAGTTTTTTTTTTTTACTATCACTTCTGTTAGGATCAAGATTTTATATGGCATAATTTAACCTGCTACTAAGTAGAACAACTTTTGTTTCTCTCCAATATACATACTTAATTTCAGGGGAAAAAAGGGTCATAGTCTACAACTGTATACCACGTATAATTAGTGGCAAATTTAGGAAGATAAGAGACTGAATTATTGTACACTTTATCAGTGAACTAATTATACTTCATTTTTCCCCATTTCTCCCCCCTTTTCCTTTCTGAAACCAGACAACCAATCAGCACATAAAGGAACTCATTTACATGGAACACTATCACACTTGTCTTTGTTGGGTCACCATTTCATGAACAACCCAGGATGTATGGCTGTTGAAGACTGGTGCATATACAGAATTTAACAAATAACAGTTCTTATGCAGCGAGCAGTCACAGAGAAAAATAGCTAATCAAAACACATTACAACATTAAATTTTCACTTTTTATAAATGGAGTAAAGATGCTTTTAAATATATTTACAGTTAGAAAAGGGACTTAGGATTACTACAAGTCAAAATTATTTAGAAATGATGAAAGTGAAATTCATTTAAATTATAACATTATGAACAGAGTCAAATGCCATATTCTACTTAGAATTTGTCTACTCTGCTGTCAGTATTGTCACATCCCTTTAATCACAAACAGGCAAAACTTATCTTAACTTTGTTTAATGCCCAAACAGGCATCATTGCAATGTAAACACTGGCAACGTAATAGTTCAGTTAAATCCACCACAGCTCAGTTTTTAGATCCTAGCTGACTTGTGTTGTATCTGTGGTTAGAAATTGCTTTTCTATGTCTTATTCCATAAAGAACAGTGAGACCTTTCTGCATTCTTTTTGACTATAACCATACTTGTACCACATTTTTGAGATTATTCTCTAGACACAGTTGAATCATAGTAAAATCCACTCCATCCTCCCTTCCTTCCAAACCAAATGACTACTTATTTCCGAAGATACAAAGAGACCTCTTGTTGGCAGCGCTGGGTGGTTTATTCACATAAAGTTAAATGAAAATACGTTTCCCATTTGGTGAACTACTGGTAATAGATTATTATTTGTTTGCAAGGAATTCTGAAATGTGTTAGCATTCATTACATTTTAAATTAGAAACACATTTCATAAAACATCTTGCGATGAGATTTGCTATCATTAAACTGCTTACTTAAACAGTTTCAGCTCTCTTGTAATCCATTACATCAGTATATTCTGCAAATAGTCCCACCTAAAAATAAAATATAAAAAAATAAAGTTGAGAAGCATGTCTTTTTCTTTTAAAAACTAGTGTATGTTATTCTGAACACCAGCCCAGCCCCAAAAACATTTAAGAACCTTAAAATGCATTGTTTTACAGATACTAAGATTTGGCCAGGTAACGGCAATGAACAGACATCCTATTTAGTAAGATAAAGCAGAATACATAATAAACAGGTCAGTAGTTATCCATCTGAAATAGCCTATAATTAACATTTGATGTCTAAAAAGTTTAAACAGCAACACCAAGGAATGAGGTATGTATGTTCTCAGATATCACATCAGACTTTCATTTTATGCAACTAACTGTATTTCACAACTAGCATCTTACAAAATAGAACAGTACCATTGTGCCTGTAGAAGTACTGCGTTAAAAACAGAAAAATACATTACTACAAGAAACCACCAAACATCACAATTGTCAGGGGCTACAAAAATCCATTGTTTTAGCTGTTAAGACGACGTATCATATGTTGGTAATAATTTGGGGCTGGATTCACTACCAAGAAGGTCCATCCAACTTTTACACGGGCTTAAAAATATATTTATTTTGAACAAAAAAGAAAAGAATCACAGGAGTGTAAGTGGACTACTTCACTAAAAGGAGCTAAATGGACTTTTGTACTGAACCTGAATCTATAATTTAGAATCTATACATGGATTGTATGTGTGTATCAAAACACTTATTGGTTGTAAACAAAAATGCAAAATCTGTATTCACAAAAATATTTTATTGGTAATTTTACATAATACCAGATGGGATTGTAAATAGTTCTGCTCTGTATCAGTATATTGCTAAGTGTGTAAATGTTGACAGTTTATGCCATAAAGTAGGGTACTGAGTTTTTTCATATGATTTATGACATAATATATTCTAATAGGCCAAATCAAAATTAAATAAATTGATTCAGGAACAAAAAATTAATAGTATTGTTAATTCCTTATTCTTGCGCAACATCTGATATTCCTGTAATGAAATGATAAGTGACTATATGACACTTGATAAATTTGGGGCGAGGAAACAGCACTAAGCAGAAATGAGAACCACACTTCTGTTATTTTTAAAGCTTTTCCAAATTTTCAATACTTTCAAATGTTAGTTTTTGCCAAATGCATAGTCATCTGAGGTTCCATATTTGTTACACAACATAGAATACCAGCGTACAGTGACAATGTAGTACTTGACCTGAATTGTAAGGTTAACCAATCAATGCTTAGAATGTGTTTTCTATTTTGCTTGTAAACATTACAATAAGTGTTTTAAGTGTGAAAAAATATTGGTAAAACCATCAACATAATTCAGTAACAGTAATCTAGTAAAATGTGTCAAACATTGGCAAAAATTCATACAAATGTTTTATTTAATAACATTTTTCCTATTTAACCACACCAAGTACCAGCAGGTGTTTTTAAGAAGATAATTATTATGAAAATTCTGTTGCAGCAATAGTTGATTAAGTTGATCTCTGACTTGCATACATATAACTATGTTTCACAATTCTCAAATTATACATATTTAGGCAGCTTGAACTATGTTATAAAAATTTAAATTCAGTACATGCCAATAGTAGAGACTCCAAGAGTTGTGTTAGAATTCACTAAACTAAAAGTGAAAATGGACTTACCAATAACACTGCATAATGAACATTCAAACCACATTTTCATGGCACCTTTACACATGAAAATTTAAAAGTTGGTCTGAAAATGCTTTGTAAGCATTTGTAGATTGCATTTAAATTATTGTTTCTACCACTGCACATTTTTCTTTTTTTAAAACTACATAAATTATGTTCCAGTCAACATACCAATTGTGCATGGATAATCTGTCATGAAAATGTGGTAACAAGTGACAGAAGTTATGTATTTGCATGTTTTGAAGAGAAGAGACTAAAGAAACTGGAGGAAATAAACTTTAATGAGATTCCCCATTCAGCGATGACGCTTCTCCTCTGGGTGAAGATGACCTGGACATTCCCCTCTCTGTGTTGTCAGAGCTAGAACCACTCTGACTGTGTTGATCTGCAGAAGCAGCACTGGAAGCAGGTGGTGACTTCGTTTTCTCCTTAAAGTCTGTAATTATGACTGTCAGATCTCCGACGGTGACTTCCAAATGCTGAGCGCTACTTCGATCCACATTTTTCAATCTTGGCCTAAATAAAGCAAGTAATCATATTAAAAGCACACACCCCATCTTATTATCTTGTCTTCCTCCTACTTTTTAGGAGCTCTGGAGAACATACATGTGTACGTAAGACTGCTATGTGCAACATGCAATACACAGGAAAACAATGTACCGCAAGTATTTACAGTAGAGTGTTTCCTACTATGTTTTACATTAAAATAGCTGAACATAATACATTATCTTCTCTTAAGATTATTTAAAGGTTGACCTTATGAATAATGTAACTGTGCAGCAATATGGATGTGTTGCAGTTATGAAGGTTTTTACTTTTAAAAATTAAGTCTTTCTTTATTGTGGCTATAGAAAATTATAAATTTGATCCAGAGAAGCATCCATCTCTGCAGCAGCCCTGAACAATTCTAAGTAGAGAATGATGTTCAATAATGAAGATGTTGGTGTCTGTCTTTTGAATTCAACAGCACAGATAGTGTTAACTTGCAGCGGGTATTTCTTCATTTCAAAACCTCACTAGGACTGCTAGTATACTATTTGAACTGGACTTTGCGTTCACAGTGTAACTCTGGTATTCCTGGCATATGCTGTGATTTAAATTATGTACAGAGCTGAGTATTACACACAGTGTTGGTAAGGTAAGTCTCTTCATCTAATCTTTTAATTGCTTGATTTTCACAGCGTAAAGACCAGAGAAGAATACTGCTTCTGCCATCATATACTTGCTAGTGACAAGCAAAAAGTACTTTCAATTTACTATTTTCCTTTGACTACCACGACAAACTGCCACCAGACAGCTGAATTTATACAATTGGTTATGAACAGCATAGCTTTATGCATTTAACTGACTCCACAGCTTTCACTAGCTCAAGCTGCAATAAAATAAATTAATGATACCACATGTTAGCAGGTATGCTAACAGCAAAGCCCTAACCTTTACCCTATCATCCAGCTTTGTCTGAAGTAGAATTGGTTCCCAGTCACTTCAGCTGAAACACCTCATGCCTTTCCTCCACTAGAATAGAGATAGGCTTTGACATCTTGTTCCCCTGAGGCTGAAGTAGCGTGACTGAAGAATTTAAGAGAAAACTGAAAATCTGCTGCTCTGTAACATGGGAATGGAGCGAAAAATTCAGCATTATCAACCTGCGTAAGTGCCGTGCCTGGAGCTTATTAATCATCTCGAGTATGCATGCAGATTTTTATGATCATTTCCAGCAATAATATACAAGTTTTCAGGCAAAGAGAAAAGGATATCCTTTTCCCAAAGGATACTGAAGAAATCTGCTTAAACTAATCAGGCATTCTTAACTTGCTATCCTACCCAGTGACTCAATTCTGTGAAAAATTGAACTGTTTGAAGCATTAAAAAAAAAAAAAAGTAGCCTAGTTATTTCAAATAGCGATTCTTAATGTGAATCTCAGTACTGGTATTTCAGTCTAACATTTTTATTTATTTTTTAAATGTTCTCCCTTTTTCTCTACCTCACTTTTGCATTTTTAATGTACTACTGCAATTCAGCCATCAATATTTCAATTCATAATATTTAATTAGCTTAACTAAAACTCACTATGTTAACTTCAAATACTTCATAACTGAAGTACTCCAGCTGCATGAAGTAAGCTAGTAAATTTGAGTATATAAAAAAAAAAAAAGAAAAAAGAAAAAGAAGGAACATCTCAGTGTCCTTAATCCTAACCATGACTTTCTTAACAACTGTTCTCTCTTGACTCTCAATCTCTCCCTGGTTCTGATCTTGATGATCCTATTTCAGGCACAAGAGAAGCATCTGCTGCTTCTCTGCATAACTAATCCCAGAGGATCTTCCTTGGCTGGACTACTTTGGAGTGCTTCCAAAAAAAAAAAGAAAAAAAAAAATCAATAGTTCCTCCCATGTCTGATTAGACTACATGTCTTGTACACTTCTGAGCTCTTTGGCACAGCTTTCTTGCCACAATAACTTTACGCTTAGACTGTGATGATTTAGGGATTAAACTTGCTACTTTTGTTTTGCAGTTTGCACCTTCCTTCCACCTGGTCTTACAGCAAGATCAAGGCTTTTACAACTGCTTGTCTGTACTGTAATATTTCATGTTCCCGGTTCTAAGAGTCCAAGGTTTCCTTCAGCATCCCAGATGTAGCATAGAGATTTTTATCACTAGGTAATATACACGCCTTACCCTGTCACATTAATGTATACCCTAGTTCAGCCCTTCAAAGTTTATTCCAGTTCTGCAAGGATAGCAATGACCATGTTACTTTCCCACTCTTCTGCAGGCTGGTACTGATTCTCTCTCCCCCCTATTATTTTGCATGAAAAATAGTCACACCCATCCCGTCTCTTCCAGAGATTAGTATCAGCTGTTTGCCTATCTACAGTTTTGTATGGTGCGAGAAATAAATCTGTAACCCTTAACAAAAATACCCAAGTCTTTCTCTCTATATTCAGCTGGTCTCCATCTTCTGGTCAAAATTACAAACTGCAGGTTTTCTTCACATTTAACAGGCATCCTAAACCACTGAAGCTTCACACACAAATATTTAGCCTTATTGTCGACAGAGTGTGCCACAGCCCTTACAAAACAGCACTTACAAAGTAGAAAAATCGCAGAACATTTTCTTATTTTCTTTTTTAAATTATGTTTTACCAATACCGCAAAAGTTTCTAAAATTTTTACCTGGTTTTCTTATGACTGTTCTTTTTGCTTGTTGTTTCCTTTTCACTTTTTTCCTTTTCTACTTTATCTTTTTTCTCTTTCTTTGATTGTGTAGGGGGCACGAATTGCTGAGGAACCTGTTGTGCAACCAGCTGAGAGACAGGTCGAGGTTTCCTGTGTGCACATATATATAGACACGCATAATACTTAGACTTTACAACAAGTCTCAAACTCTCTACACTTCAGTTATTAACATTAACAATCACTATAAAAAGAAATACTGCTAAAATTTATCTTGCTGCTAATACTTCATTAAAATAGCATATCAAATTTAAACCCATTACAGCCTCTTGTTTCACTTACTTGCATCATCAACAAATGAGTTGTGGGGGGTTTTTTTAAGGTTTTAGAGACAAGACTTTGCAATGTCCCCTCTTCTCCTCGTTGTCATATCGAGAGAGACACTTAGATGGAGCGAACTCCAAAAGATGAAGCTTCCAGAGGGAATACCTTACCACCCAATCCCAGCCCCCTCAAATGATGAAGGGGTCGGTTTTGAGTGTACTGCAGTACTGAAGTATACAATCCATATCATAAAAAGGAAAAAGTTGACCTTTCAGGTATCGGAGCTAAAGCCACTGTTGGCCTTATAGAGCAAAACAAGCGTTTTCAGCTCAAACAAATTCACTGAAAGCAATGACAAATCCTGTTAAGTTGTGTATCGTTTTTCTCAAGTTGTTCACTGGAAAAAATATACTGCACTAATAATAGCAGGATATAGCTGTCAGAACACATGTACTTTAAAAGCTGGCAACAGAAACTTCCAACCACATTCCATCAGCATACACAGCGCAGGTTTCATTTCCAAGCTTTGATCCAAACTAAAAACCAGGGTGAGAAGAGGAACAGCAGGCAAAAGAATTTCAACAGTTTATTGTTTTTATATGTTCTGAAATATTATTTTGAAATAGCTTAATTTTTATTTTATTTTGTATTGGAATACAAGGATTCTAATGTGAAATGAACACTTTACTCTTTCCAATGCAAGGGTATTTCTTTATTTTGAGATTTTGGAATTAAGAAATTTCAAGTCATGACATAAAAAAAGGAAGGTTCTGTGATTCTATTAAGACTTTGAAGATGCAAATTTCTTCTCCAAAAGAATGTTTACTCTGCCAAGCTCTTGGGTTTTGTTAGTTGGGTTGTGTTGTTGGGCTTTTTTAAATAGAAGCAGCATAAATTATATGCACTGTGATACTCTGAAAATACAAAGCGGTTATTAAAGCAACAGAAGCTATCAGCTCTTACGCATATTTATTTATCCCAACCCACAGGCTCACGCTACCGCACTTCTTGCTTAGGTGAAGTGACGAGTAAAATAACAAAAGCAGAAAGTCAAGGCAGCTCCCATTAGCAAGTTGTATTTTCAGTAATGATTGCAATAGCTTGTGTTTCAGAGTGAAAGCCAAATTACAAGAATCCATACAGTGTGGGAAAGGCAGTTAATATAAAACAGCTAAGACTTCGTGAGTCTTCACAGCAAGTTCTTAACAAATTAAAGTAAAAATAAAGACTATTAAAAATGTCAACACAACAGAACTTTGGGGTAAAAACTAGACTACCACATACCCACTCATGAACTAAGCCCACGCTAACTCATGGAGAGATGAAGATCAACAACGGATCACTTACTGAAAACTACCCAGCTTGCATCAACTGGCAAATACATGACTACATGCTTTTCAGGAGAACATTGCAACTAGAACCTTGAAAAACACACAGTAGAGTCCAAAATCACTGAAATGACTCAATGGACTACAATTGTTTACATTAACCGAGTACATAGGACATTTATAAGAAAACTTGCCTCAGAACTGTTTGGACCATTTGTCATAGCAGTTCATAACAAAGCAAGAAGAACCAAGGTGTAATTGATGCACAAGCTTATCATTTCAGGTGGAAAACACTTGTGATATATAAACAAAACTGATCATCTGTCTTGAACTGAAGACTGCTCCAGGAGATAGGGATACAGGGAGTTAATATTCCTAGTGATGGCCAAGTGACAATCCCGTCATTACTACATGGTGACCTGAGAGAATAATCTGACATGTTACTTATGAAGTAAGACAGTAGTGAACTTCTCGACACAGAATTAATTATTGCCCAGGGCTGTGGACAACGCCATGATCATGGAAACTTGTTAAAAAGAGGGGTAGAGAGGGAAAAAAAATTCTTAGCCAACTATTTTTGGAGTTCTCAATTTGCAATAATTTCAATTCCTGAGGGCAAACTAGATGATTTCTATTAGAGTACAGCTGGGAAATTAAGTTTAGAACTAAGTCCTAGGTTTAGAACTTCTTTTTCTAGTACCAGAAAACAAATGAGACTGACAAAAAAGATCTTTGCCACAAGGAACAGAAGTCAGTTAAGACAAAAAAAAACAGAGAGAAATCATGTTTGGGAAGATGCACTAAAAATTAATCAAGAGGTTCTATGTGGTTTTGCTGTGACAAGGAATTCCACTCAGTTACTTTATTCCTCCCAATTAAACATCTGTCTTTTTGTTGTCAATTATTTCTACAGCTGTCTATCAATTACATCTATGTTCCAAAATTTATTATCTGCTTTGTCATTTCCCGATTTCTTAAATGAGGTATTCAATGTTTTTATATTAAAAAATTGAGGGGGGGGGGAAATAAATCACATCTCTTAATATTGAGAGTGTCTTTCAAGCATTCAAAAATTTTTTTTTTCCCCAGGTACTCAAAAGGGGCTACTGAACTGCATCCAAGCACTTTGCAAGCCATGCAGCTTCAGGAGACAACTTTACCACTCATGAAGCTTTAACCTGATAGAACCGTTCATGATTTAGCGGTAGCTGAATCATGTCATTCAAGCATGAAGGTATTCATACAGAGAAGGCTTTCTCGCAGAGAAGATAAATGTAAGAAAAACTATTCCTGTAACAGGAAATTGATTTTGATGATTTGCCAAAATACGACATTTTAAATTACTGGTTTTCAAAACCAGTTAGTTAAATACTCCTTGTAATAGGCTGCTACAGATTAAGTAGATACAGACAATGTTAAGACTACCTTTTATTTCATCAATATATTTATGGTAATTTGCTTTCTGAGCATATTCAAGAGCACCTGAGTTAACTGGTGTTTAGAAAGAAGCTCTATAAACTTCTGCATTATGATTACAAGCGGTTTTGCCTCTACCACTGGGAGTGACTTTACAACTGAACAATCCAGAACGGCAGGCAGAAATGTTAACATTAAGCAATGCATATTGCTTAGTCAGCCCCTCAAAACTTTGCATTTTTATCTAATAATTTCACTTCAGTCATTTTAAGTGGAACACTAATCAAGAGAGGCATATACTGTTACAAAAGATAAGAGCTATCAATTCTTTCCAACAGAGGTGCACTTTATGGTTTAGACCCTAAGCACTGCAGCCATACCAACAAACTGATTTACTGAGCTTCCAAGGGATCACTAAACATCACGGCTCCGAATATTATGCCTCTCCTTCTCTATCACTTAATTTTCCTTTTCAGCCAGTGTCATCTTTATTCTAAGTTAACATCAGCCATACTTCTACCTACATTTCTATTCCAACCTCATCGATGATGGTTGTATTAATTATCTAATTCCAATGTTGCTTTCAAGGCCCTGTATAAAATACTCACACACTTTATAAGCTCCTTTAAAAAATAAGGAAAATTAACTTTTTTAGTTTTTTTACAAAGCCAACAAGACAGTAATACAAACATTCAAAGATACATTTTTTGTCTTCCCTGCAACTTCCATTAATGCTAAACGACAAGGATGTCATCATTTTAACTCTATTCTTCTTGTGGCAGGATGTGACTACATTTTATCTTATAGGATTTGATCTAGCTGCTGGTTTAGAGGGTATATTTACAGAGGCTGCAGAGAATTGTCTATTTAGGTTTTGTGTGCAGAAACTCATTCAACGCTGATGCTCTCAGAGGGAGCAAATATTTAATACTGAGAAAGATGGACTAATTTTCATTGTTGACATTCTTTAAAAAGAAAAAAAAAGCTTTATAGCATAGCAATTTACATGCCTAGTGATAAAAATACTCATTCAAGAATACATGCAGTACACTAGACCAAATGATATCTGGATCTTTTGCCCCCAGTCACTTCCCTCTCCCATAGCTCAACACAATACCTTCCTGCTCATAAGCAATTTTGGACATCTCACAGCAGTACGTGCTTCCTTAATTTTCCTCACCTAGTATTCACCAATAATCTATGTAAAAAGAATTTTGACCAATTTGATATGGTGAATAACTTGGTCTCATTACAACAAAGCAGGTCCATTTTGAAAACAGAAATAAACAAAAAATATCTATGTACAATACTAATAATCAACATATGCAGCAGAAGTACAGTAAACTCTCAGTCACCTGAGTTGTACATCAAGCATGCAGGCAACCAAACTGGCTTAATGCTGAAGCATCTTGGGGTCTGGCTGATTTAATTTATACAGGGCACAACTACATTCGCATCGTGCTGCTTCTACAGCCATTACGAGTCCATAAAGCACTCCAATGTCTCCTGCTGTTGTGGTTTAACCCAGCAGGCAGCTAAACACCACACTGCCGTTCACTCACTCCCCCCCACACCTCAGTGGGATGGGGAGAGAATCAGGGAAAAAAAAAATGTAAAATTCATGGTTTGAGATAAAGAGTTTTTAATGGGACAGAAAGGGAGGGAAAGGGAAGGGAAGTAATAATAATGATAAAAGAATATACAAAATAAGTGATGCACAATGCAATTGCTCACCAGTCGCCAACCGATGCCCAGACAGTTCCTGAGCAGTGGTCGCCATCCCCCGGCCAACTCCCCCCAGTTTATATACTGAGTATGACATCATATGGTATGGAATATCCCTTTGGCCAGTTTGGGTCAACTGCCCTGGCTGTGCCCCCTCCCAGCTTCTCGCTGGCAGGGCATGAGAAGCTGAAAAGTCCTTGACTAGTGTAAGCACTACGTAGCAACAACTAAAATGTCGGTGTGTTAGCAACATTATTCTCATACTAAATTCAAACACGCAGCACTATACCAGCTCCTAGGAAGAAAATTAACTCTATCCCAGCCGAAACCAGG